GCCCACTTTTCTCCTCTGTACATACAAACATATGATGTTCTCACTATCAGACAAGCAGTTCACATGGACAGGTCATTAACATGTGCATCAATGAAAACTTTGTCTCCTTTTCAGGCCATAATAGTAACATTTATCTTTTATCACTCAACAAAAATTTGAGGTAAGAAAACCTCAAATGCTTTTTGTATTTTTCCGACTCAATTATCTGGACACTCATTACACACATCTATAAAAAAAACATGAGAAAGACTGCATACGCTTTGCTTATTCTTTCTTATCCTTCTGTTGGATTCCAATCCATATTTGATCCACATTTGACCCCCAAACTCACAATTTCTCTCTTGTTTCTACAACATCACATAACAACCAGATAATAAATAAGACTCATTTTGTTGTTTCCATGTCTTGCTTTTTCTTATTTTTATGAGTATTTTTCTATATATAAATGTTGGGGGTGGATATAATTATTTACTCCCTTACACATATGGTGTAGTTGATAATATGCTTCATTATAGCACAAGGTCAAGTGGTGGGGAGAGTAGATTTTATTTCACTACAAATCAGTTTCCAAAATTCTGGCTTTACACATAAACTCAAACATTTATGGTGAAATCTGCAACTATCTTAGCTATAGTGCTGCTCAAATTTTTTTAGGCTTTTGAGTTGTTTGTCTTTATAAAGAAGTGGGGAAGGGGGTGCAATGACCTAGGGCATCCATATCAGGAAGGCATCCAATCAAAGAGTGAAATAATAAAAAAATTTAGTTTATATTTAATTTGAGTAAAGTGTCTTTCATGTTCTATCTGTTTTTATATATTTAAAATGTCTTCCTTTTTCACATTTCTCAGTACTAGGCCCTCTACTTGAGTCTTAGGGGCATACAATCAAGGAGTTGGCATCACCAAATATCACCACATCACTGAATGAGAGAGGCTTACTTTGGAGCTGTGGTTTGCAAGGCAAGTCTCACAGACTCTTGCTACTGCATGTCCAGTTATTGCTGAATGCACTTCATATATGGCCTTGTGTCAAACTAAGATTAGTATCATTAGAACCAACAATTTGTTTTCTTTTATTCAATTTTTTTTTTTTTTTTAATGAAAGTTTACCCAATACAAAATCCCAAGAGCCACTCAAGGTAGAGGTTTACTGAGTAATATTTTAAAGGCGAGGGAAGTAAGAGTATTTTGAGGATATATATTGGCTGACCCTGGACTTAAGAGGAAACAAGGGAAACCTCTACTTCTCTTCAGAAGGCTGTGGGGAGAGTGTGTGTGTGTGTGAACCTGATGATAGGCAAACCTATCTACTCCTATTGAGGAAAAAATAAATAGTAAATAAAATTACAGAATTTAGGCAGAGACATTAGAAGAATAATGTTGAAATAGACTTTAAGAGGAACAGGAAACAAGTAATAAACTTCTACTCCTGTTCAAAAGACCATGGAGGAGTGTGAACTGGACACTAGGCAAAGCTACTGATTCCTATTCTTTTGTGACTTTTTCTTCTAATAACTACAATTAAACAAAAAACATGTCTGAAGATACTAAAATACTTGAGAAAGTTTTTATTTTTGTAACAAAAATAAAGATGACACTTTGAAAGACATCTGCAAAATGATTTTAAGAATGTTATCGCATGGCTTAAAAGGGGGGAATTTCCATCTCACCTGTTGGCTTCCCCAACATTGACACTTGTCTGTCACTATTTTTACCCTTCTCAATGGTGACACTCATCTGTCACCCCAATGTTGACATTAGTCTCTGCTCCCCTCCCAATACTGACATTCTTCTTACTTTTACCCACCCAATGCTGAGACTTGGCTGTCACCCCCCCCCACCATGCTGACACTTGTGAGTCACCTTCACACAGCCAAAATGGGGACACTTTGTATCTGTGTGTGTGTGTCTGTGTGTGTGTGTCGCTTTCACCCCAACCTCCTGGTGACATTCATCTGTCTCCCCCCTGATGTTGACACTTATCTGTATCTGTCGCCTTCATACCCCCCAAATCTGTTGGCACTTATCAGTCACTTTTATTACCCTACCTCCTGTTAAAGTCCAACTCCTCTATCGCCTTTATACCTACTACTTGATATTCACCTTGTCTGTGTTAATGGCCAGCTAAACCAATGGCTAACTATTCATCTGCCCTCTTATTTCTCCATTTCCTTCATATTAGACCACATGCAACAACCACTGAATCCTGGTTGTCAGCTGATGACAAACAACTGGGTTTCTAGATCAAGCTACCTTGACATTTCTATTATGACAACTGTTTGCACTTTCTCTCACCTCTCATCAACAAAAGTCTGTTTTTTTACTGAGTACCAAAAAGCAGACCAATTCTCATTCTTGCTTTTTTTTTTGTTTGTTTCTTCCTTGAGTAATTTGAAATCCTGAGTAGTCATTTAAAGATGGCATCTATATTAATAAAAGACAGCAATGAAGGCATCATTCAGTTGTCTTTTATTATAAGAAGTTATTTATCAAACAATTTTCTCAAAATAGATTTAAAAAACACTTTATAAAGTGCTTTTTGGTTTATTGTGATTTGTTCTGTTATGATTATTAGAAATGCACAAGACTTGATTTATAAAATTCTGCACTCTTTGAGGCCTCTTTTTGGTAAAATATTGTTATTAAAAAAATATATACTTTTTCATTTTAGATGGCCATATTAAATGATCTTCATAAAATAGATTTTTGATTTCTTTTTTCAGTTATAAGCATCTTAGGTTTTTGTACTTTTTTATTTTTTATTTGAATGATTTTACACTTCTGAATATTTTGATATATTTAAAAAAAAAAAAAACTATTCTCAATATTATTTACTATTTGAGTCCGATTCCTATATTGATTAGGATTTGTTCATCTTCAGTGTTACCTTTTTGTATTAAAAAATATTTTAAACTTTTTATTTTTTGTATGTTTCACTTATACTGAATCCATGGAATCAACTATATAAGTACATAAAAATAAAAAGTTTCATAAGATTTCACCTTAAATAATTGGCCTTTTGAACAGGAGTAGAAGTGTATTCTTTGATTCCTGTTTAGGATTGGGTTTCTGGTTCTTTCTAAAGTCTTCTTATTTTATTTCACTTGCAGTAATCCCTTGTTTCTGAGTTGCATTATTGCTTTGCTTGGGGTGAATTAATTTTAAAAAAAGTATCATATTTTTGAAACTGGTGATTATTTAAAATATAATATTATTTGGCTTATATCATATTTTACAGAATTATCTTTTTTGTTTTGATCATAATTCAAGGTCAGGCTTACAGCCACATCACATTGAAACACCGGCTCTTGTATGATCACCAAAGTTAAGTAATGTTGAGCTTGATCAGTATCAAAATGGGTGACTGCTTGTGAATACAAATATAAGCTTGTATGATAATAGCTTGGAATGGTTAATTAGAGAGCAGAGTTCCAATTCCAGTTGGGTTTATTATATTCACTTATGCACAAATACTCTTGAGGGAAATGCATGAATCCACCTCTCCTCCCTCTCTATGGGTTAATTAGTAAGACTTGTATCATTGAAACCATTCTCTAAAAATAAAAATAAAATGGCATATAAAATATTTAGATTTCAGCATTAAATAACCCACAGAGGTTGATATGCTGTTAAACAACCAACCAACAATTCAGGATTTGTGTTTTAAACAATATCTCAATGTATAGCAAATATATATATATATATATATATATATATATATATCTTCCTTTTGGACAGAAAACTTAAATTGTAACCTATGAAAATATATAAGACCAATTCAAATAAGATGTAATACCTAATGATTTTAAAATAGGTGGGTGTGTAGAGAAATACCCTTGTGGATTTATTGGGTAACTAAGATTCTTGATAAAGTATTTGATTGTTCTTTAAATCTTTATCTTGTGCCACACTTGAGGAAATCAATCACTATACTTTGGTGTACATTGAATTATTTGCCTTATTCACTTTATCGTGACATTATTGAAATTGTTAACTTGTCCTACAGCAGCCTTAAATGCATCCATGTGGATCTAATTAATGGATGGGAAAAGGAGAAATGCATATTTGAGAACATGTCTGCAATGATTGATTCCTTCCTGATAATTGGTTATGTAAGTTCTTTTGTCTTTTTCTTCAATTCATATTGTTCCCCAATTTAAAAGCTGAATTTGTATAGAACCTAATCTAAGTTAATGTATATCAAATAATGCTTTCATATTGCATTGTTTAACCTTCCAAATAGTAAATAAGATCCTATAAAATTCACAGCCAATGTGGCTTAGCAGTGTTTATGTATTGCAGGTTCAAATTCTACTGAAAAAATTTCTCTTAAATTCAGGATATTAAAAGTCAAATCTTTAATTTTGGACAAAATATGATGTATCCATTTTTTTTTATTTTCTGTAAATCATTTCAATGAAAATTTAATTAAAATAATTTAATAAAAATATATTTTCTAAATAAGTTAAACCAGCTGAAATCTTTTCTATAAATATGTCTCCTCCACTGAATCATGGAAGAAAATTGATTTGCATTCACATCTGGTTTTAATTTTATATTTATTATCATAAATTAAAAATTTATTTTTTGGGTCCAAATTATTGAAACACATGAATATTGGATAATAAACCACTTCAACAAAATTATTATAATGATTCCCAAAATATATAAATCTTATATTTAGCAATAACTGAATTTTTTATGGATCCTATTTATTTTTGCTAGAACCATACAACAATTTTTTTTTTTTTTTTCCAAAGCATTTATTGGAATACTGTACTAATTCTACCCCATAAGCTTTTATTTGTTCAAATAGAAAATAAAATAAATACAAACTGTAGAATTTTATGCCTAATAAGCAGGCGATGATCCCACTAAGTCAATAAATCCATCTTATGTATCATGGCTGGTTGGCTAGGGTTAGGATTCCCTATTGATAGTAAAACCTTTTAGCGAGGGGAGGGGGGGGCAGAAATATTTGGAAGGAAGAGACAGAATGGTATGGATGAGTTTGAAGAGTCAGCATCTTTCTGCTTCTCTGAATGTCATTTACCTCCTCTCTATATTACATTTATCCCCACCCCTTTTTTTTTGCCACTCCCTTTCTTTGGGCAGCAGCTGCTACTATCTCTGCTGTTGCTGTGTCATTTGATGTCTGAACCAATTCACAGCAGAGAGCCTCCACCTGGAAGGCTTCAAACCTTCACTCACTGCCAACATGACACCAGAGGAAGAACAGACAAATTATTCCAGATGTAAAATTGGACAAATTTTCAAAAACATTTTTTTTTTTTTTTTGTTCTGCAGATTTATTTATTTTATAAAAAGAATCCTTTCATTGTTTTGGCATTAAAAAAAAAAAATAGAAAAGAAAAAATACTGAAAAAATATAAAAATATTTGTTAATAAGAATGTAAAATTTATTCATTTTTATGAAAAATTAGGGATTAAGAAAAAACAGTTGAAATTCATCTAAAAACAAAACAAAACTGAAAGCAAGAAAAATCCAAATGAATTACTTTCTCACTTTTAGTTTTTAAAATTATATTTTATAATCTTGAAATTAGAATCCATTATTCTGACAACAGAAGAAAATAATTAAAACTGATAAAAATTAAAAAAAGAAATTGAAAATAATCTTTTAAACTTATAATAATAGCTACTGTTGAGAACTTAGTTTCCTCCATATCAAGGGTCAATGAGCTGATTTTTCTAGTTTCAACTTACAAGAGAATGTAACATTTCATTCTCGATTTCATGACCTTTTTATGTTTTCATTCTTTTTTTTTAATTAGAAAATTCCTGAAAGATGATTGAATGCAATGCACAACATATGAGAAAGGGTAAAAAAAAAAACATCTCAGCCAAAATGTCGTACAGAAATACAAGAAAATAAAAGATAATCATATGAATAAAGCATGAATTAATCACAGTAAATATTTTGTTTCATTAGCTTCAGTTTGAATAGTTTGTTCATTGATGGACTTAAGTGGTTTCCTTCAATTAAATCAGATTTTCTAGAACTTCCCAGAAAACCACATGCAGCCATACAAATTTTTATTGTTTAACAAAAAATGTTAAGCAATTTAGTTGCTAGAAAAGATTAGAAAAATCGTACAAGTGATGTGCAGATCTTATAACCTGAAGGTGAACACTTTGTTAGAGGTGATAATTGAACTTCTCCTTTAAGGTCTTTGCTTATATCAAAATATTTGTTTTAAGTAGTTCTTGTAGTAGAGAATGAATATTTATTCCATGACTCATTTGAATCGCAGTCTTTATCTTTGTTTTGATCCCTGTTTAAACCTGTGTGGCTTTGTAAACTTCCTTGTCTGAAATTCTCGGATAATATATTGTCATTATTCAAATTATCATGTTCATTTTTTGTTGCCCTAATCAAAATGTTTAAATGCGATAAAAAGTTGAAAGAAACATTTACCTCAAATTTCATTGATTTTAAAATATTGAAATTTAGATTATAAATTTAAAAAGAATTCTAAAGAACTTTGAAATTGATGCATTTTTAAGTTATAATACATACAAACTATGAATTATCAAGATGTCATTTATTGATTAAATATTTGAAAATTTTAGGTGCCATTTTGTTAGAATAATCTTCAGATATACCCTCAGCAAATTATGAATACTTTGATTGGAAATCTTCAGTTCTGTCAGCTAAAAATAATAGCAGTTTACTTTTAATCATCATATAACCAATCAAATTCTCTTTTTTCTTTTCTTTTTTTTTTTTTAAATTTTTGCTCTTTGATGATAAATGATATTTTTTGCTGGTTACTTTTATTAAAAACATGATAGAGCCAGAAAAAGGGCATTACTAGCTGCATTTTTGGATCATTTCAATCATCTATGCCAAAATGATAATTTGTATTTTCTGTTTTACCAGATAATTTTTCTATATAAAAAAACAAAACTTTTGCATTATAAATACAATATTTTTAAATTTTCTAACATATTTCTTCATTCTAAATATTGACACTTTTGAACTCCTTTTAATTACATGGTTTTGTCTTCAGTATTTTTAATGGTATGGCAGATGATAGGTAACTGCTCTCAGCTCACATTCAGTACCAGCCTATCATCTAATAGGTTTCCATTTATTTTCTTAGATCAACCAAGAGTAGTCAGTAAGTTTATTATAGGTTTTTGCCTTCCAGTTGTGTATATTTGGACACCTGATCCAGAAACCATTCATTAGGTACTAATTATTTTAATGAAAGGAAAAGAAAAGCAGTCTGCAGATGTAATGTAATTAAGCATATATTAAAATTTAAATTAAACTTGAGAGATTGGAATATTTTTTCTTTTACAAAATCTCTTGTGCAGTTGATACATCAGTTCATATATTTTTTTTTGTATTAATAGAATCAGAAGGGAAAATTCAGGATATAAAATAAATTTAGGAAGTTTAATGCAAAGTATGGAAATATACCCGCCTCCCCACAAAAAAAAAAAAATGTACTCACTTTAAATATCAAGAAACACAGCGTTTATTGACTTACAAACAAGGTCAGTGGTTAAAATTATGAAATATTAATGTTTATTGACTTGCAAACAAGATTAACAGTTTCAATTAAATATTAAATGAAAGTAAATGCATGGATCTGCAGAAAAGAAAAAAAATTGAAGCAGTTATAGGAATTCAAAATGACTACATTTTTGGAGGGATAACCCTGTATATTGTAACATCCTGCTATACCAATTTATCTGTAGTGTCAAAAAATTTTGTAATTGCATTGCTTATAGTTTCTGCTTGAATAATCTCTGATGTTTACCAATACAATTAACATTATTGTTTTATGTAAGAAGGAATTCTGATTTTTTAAATTGTTAAAATAAAAATATTCAATGAAAAGCAATACAAAAAAGAAATAAAAGTAATGTATTAGCACCCTGATCTCCCCTATTTACTAACGAGGTATTCACTTATTGGAACTGAGTAATTTTTTTCTATTACCATAAAATTGAAATATTTCATTAGTGAGAGAATATCCCATTTTGTGATTGATAAATATATAGTCATATATTTTATAGAATTGATAGTATACAATGGTTTCTTTATCTTCAATGTCTTTTTGCTCTATTAGTTATCTCCCTTGAGCTGATGAAATCAAGTGGCAGTGTTTTTTATGATACTGGCAGCAAGATGTTTACAAAGCTGATAGATGGATCAAAGTGAAGTGAGTAAGGAGGATGAGGCTAAAGGTTTCATATTTAGTGTCATTATCTTTTGTGCAATGCTTTCAGTTCATAACAATACTTTTTTGCATTAGCTGTTTCATTTTATTATTTCATTAGTGTACACGTACCATCAAAAATGACAGCAGTTATTAAAAAGTTTTAATGGTGAGATGCAATGAAACAAGTCTTGAAACAATGTATTGAGGTTCACTAAAGCAGAAATAAAGAATTCACAACTAAGATAGAGGCCAATGAACCATTTAATTAATCCGTTCCCTTTATATTTTTTTAGGCATTCAATGTTATCTATGATTCATTGATTACTTCTGGTATTATCTAAAGTGCTTTTTGCTCAGTATCTTTTTCGTGTTAAAAATTTCATGTGTTTAGTATAACAGTGAAATGGAAATATCACTTGGAAGAAAAAGATTAGCAACAAAACAACAAAGATGGCAACAACAAAGCCTATTTCAAGACCAAGTTGAAGCAAGATGATCACTTAATAGACAAAGGTATCTGAGTACCTCACATGAAAAGTTTACACAAATAAGACTGCAATCTAAGAAAAGTAAGAGTAAAAGAACTGATTAATTAAACAGTCATTTTGCTTGGGAACTAATTTTGTCTAAATGCAGATAAATATTTTATTTGCATAGATTATTAAAATGACTAAAGGAAGTAATTATAAGTTGATTTACTTTCTTTCTCACTACAGATGGGACAGGATATATATAAATATACATTAATAATTATTATATGGTTTGATTGATGGTATATGATTAATTCATATCCCACCATACAGAAAATATTCTCCTTTTTACAGTAAGTGCTGATCATTGTCATTTTTGTTGGATATGATACAGAGAACCCACTTTTCATTACTGGTGATGATCTTAGCCATGAAAGGTTTAGTAGGAAATCTACGCTTAAACGACAAGCAGAGGGCAAATCTTTGATTAAGCTGAGAACAGATGATGTGGAACCCACTAACCAAATTTAAACCCTTTTCTAAGTTCATGGTGGCATTTTTATGATCAAAGTGTGACTCGTAATCAATTGTTTTGTCATGCAGCTTTCTTAGGATTTTTCTTAGCTAGAATTTTTTTGCAACTCGCTGACACGTGTTGAAATCCTCACAGTATTTAGTATTGTTGAAGTTATTGCTCACATTTTGTGTCAAGATTTACAAACTCAACTCTCCCTAATCTGTGTTTATATTTACAGTGCTACTAGTACTGTACTTTATATTTTACCAGAATGAAATATATAGAAAAGCTTAAAGAAAAGATATGCAAAAAACAATTTGCATTTTTATTAAATAAGTATTTATTTTAATCATTAAATTGTTTTTAAATTAGTGTGAGTATTTTATGTTAAATAATAAAATTTTTAATTTTCCCCCTAAATTAATGAAAATTTATTGTACTATGCTATGCACCCTAGTAAAACCAACTATACTTTATACCTCCTTACCTGTTTGCACTTCTCTCCAAAATTTGGTTTTGATTGGTTAATGTATGGCTATTTTAGAGGGTGTGATAGATGAACAGGCTAATGGAAGTCACAGAATTTTATATATAGACTATGTTTGCAGAATTACAATATTGATAGAACTTGGTCATCCAGCTTGAGGAAAATCTTTGAGAGAAAAATCTTTCAATTCATTGTTGGCATATCTGAATATTTCTTTAGACTGAACAAATATTTCTTGTTCTGTTGTTGAAAAACCTGAGTAAATCAATAAAAAATTTACCCAATCTGCAAAGAAAGAAAAAATAGAACATAAAAATTAATGGTTATTTTAATTTAAGTACTGGAAAAAATACGTTCAAAGTGATCATATAAAAATGTGATAGATCTTTCTTTCTAAACTAATATGTTTTTCCCTTCTGAATTAGATCAATCCTACAAGTTGACCTTGTTTTATGTTTATTTACTGTTCACATCATCGAACACTTTATAAGTGACTGTTTCTAGTCAGACTATATGCAAAATGTCTGTTGATAAACATCAATGCTTTCAGTTTAGTTTCTTTTTAACTACTCATTTTAATTAC